GAATTTTTCTTGGACTTGCCGAAAGAGGCCAGGAAGCATCTAGGCAAGTCAGTCCAGCTAAAATAAAATACAAAAAGAAACAGGGTCATATCCTGGGTCCAAAAAGGGCCCAGGGGCGGATCCCCTCCAATCTCGCTGTTCGTGACTCAAGTGGCCATCATGACAGTGCGGAGCGGGCTCGGGCGCACCGTCTGGTGGCCCGAGGCCAGCCGCTTCCACAAAACCAGTCGTCATGCTCCGACGCGCGACACTGGTGCTTGGCTATGGCTCGGGCCTGCTGGCGCCCAGGTTGCACTCCTTCCCGTCATCAGGCAGGGACGTTGGCACTTGGGTCGATCCCCCGCTAGGGGATTCGGTCGGTCAATCATCGTAGTAATCATCATCATCGTCGTCGAAATCGGCCAGCTGCTCAAAGTTGACCTTGTAGCGCAGGAGACCGCCGATGCCACCGAAGCCCTTGACGAACTGGTTGCCCTCGGTCGACCTGTCCGAGACGAACTCGAGCGTGGCGCCGAAATCCTTGTAGTGCTCGGCGACCCACTCGAGGAACGACTCCTGGCTCACAATGTCCATCTCCTGGCCGGTGGCCTTGTCCATGAACTGCGAGCGGTCGCCCGTCTCCTGCTGCTTGGTCGTGTGGATGACAATCTCGGCCCCCTCGCTGTCCTTGAGGACGTAGCGCGTGATCTCGAGGTTCTCAAAGACAATGAGCGTCTCGACGGCGCCGAGGTCCAGCGCCTTGAGCGTGTCCTCGATGCCGTAGCAGATGCGGCCCGTGTCCTGGCTGATCTCCTCAAAGTACTTGCCAATGAGCTTCTTCTCCTGGATGAACTTGACGTTGCCCAGCGTCTCGGAGGACAGCTCGATGGCCTGGTTGAAGCCGTTCTCGCCACCGTACGACACGTCGACGACCTTAATGACCTTGGCCTGCAGACGGCCGTCGAACAGATCGGACGCGTTGAGGTCGTTCTTGAAATCGGCGGAACCGGCGAGGATGAGACCGGCGACGTTGACCTTGTCGGCGGTGATGAAGTTTTGGACGGCCAACTCGGCGACCTTGCGGACGTAGTTGTGGCGCTTCTCGTCACGGAGACGGGCGAAACGCAGGGCCGACTGACCACCACGGCCGTGCTTCTTGGGCAGATCGACGGAGAACTTGTGGACAATCTCGCGCGTGTTGCCGCTGAGGGTGGCGAACAGGGCACCGTTACCGTCCATGATGATGAAGCCGAATTTCTGGTCGGATTCGAGGAGCTCGGACAGGGCCTCGGTGTGGAACTTGTTGTCGCAGAGGTACAGCGACGTGTTGATGGGCTTGAAGGGCTCAAAGTCAATGTTGACCTTGCGCTCCTTGCCCTCCTGGGTGAGGATTTCACCGCAGTAGACGACGAGGCCGTTGGGCGGCACCTTGTTGTAGAGCTTGAGACGCTGCTGGGTCGAGGTGATGGCGGAGAGGACAGACTGTCGATTCACTCGCGACTTGATGTTGGAGGCGGTACCCTGGAGTGCAGCGTCAGTGGCTGTGACCGAACAATCATGGGGGGGGGAGGGGTCGCAGAGCATCGGGGACACATACGTATTCTTCAGCCAACATCTTGGCAGCACGGGAGACTTGATCCTTGGGGGCTGCGATGTGAAGCCATGGTCAGCGATTTTATCGACCAAAGAGGGCGAATGACGTAGGAAGGGGGGACAGGGAGGTGGTGATGGAGGGATTCGTGACGTACGGATAATGAGGGAGATCATGCTCGTTCCGTTACCGCGAGCGGCCTCGAGGCTCTTGATGAGCTTCTTGACCTTCCATATCTCGATCTATGGGCGCAGGGCGACATGGTCAGTTTTTTGGTGAGAAGGCGGGGCAAAGAGGGGCGGGCGGGCAGCAAGCGAAAGGAACAGAGCGACATTACGTTCTTCTCGGCCTCAGTCGAGTTGGGATCCGACATGGTGGGCAACTAGAATGCGGAAAAAAAATGAAGGAAAATGCAGAACAGAAACGGCGAGCACCGGGCGACGCGCTGGAGTAATGGCTCGGATCTGGACGGGTCTTTGGCGCAGTTCCCTCTGCCTCTGCAAGTTGATGTTTGTGCGGGCCGTGCAGGACCAGATGGCGGACAGACAGTTTTTTCGACCTGCTTCGCGGCACGACGTCGAGTCACGTGCCTAGGAAGCAGCAGCACACTGTGGGTGCCTGCCACCGGCTGCCTGCCGCCCTGCCGCCCTGCCTAGGTACCTCCCTACCTAGACCTGGGGACCTACCTTCACCGGGCAGGTACAGGTACGTAAGGCGCCTTGGAGCTCATGTCTGTCACTTTGGGCGCCCACGGCCACCCGAGCGGGTACGGGTACGGCAATCCTAGCGCCTGGGAACACGTCTGCCCTCGTTGGGAACTCGTCCTCATCACAGCCCTCGACACCAACAATCGCAGCTCACGAGGCCCACGCAGGCGCTGTTGTACTATGTGAGATTTGCCATCTTTTCATGAATAGGACATGTATAGCTGCCTTTTACTTTTAGTTTTGTTAGTATTGTTATTATTATTGACATGCATTTTATAGCCATCGTTGAGGTTTGGAACCCTGGTCAGCTTCCTCTGCATGCTACGTACGGATTACACGCTGAGATACTATTCCGAACAACTGTTGACGCAGGAACACCAGACTGTCAATGGCCGGCCCCCCCATGAAATACAGTACTGCGCTCGATCAGTCAGCGACCGATCAGCACACCGATCAGTGCACCATCAGTGGGCATCCAAGGCAAGGTGAGAAAGCGGTACGTACCCAAGTTGAGCCACATGTGGCTGGGCCGAGGTAAGGCTCCGGCGCCGCGACTGAAGCACGCTCATAAGCACGGCTCAGAAGCGCGCTCAGAAGCATGCTCAACCATTCCTCTAGTACGA